CCCCCCGGCACTCTGGCCGGTCGGGGAGAGCGGCCTGCGGCCGGGCTCGGTGCCCTCCCCTGCCGCGCTGGGGGGCGGGCGGGGGGGCGGCGGGAGGCTTTTTTGCCTGGGGCGGCAAAAAAGCCAGAGCCAGCCCTGGTAATACGACAGTACCTGTAAGAAATTTAAGTTACTTTTACCCCTGCCGGAACCCCAGACCAGCGGGGCCAGCGGCGGGCTGAACAGTTCAGCCCGCTGCCGGTCTGGGGTTCTGGCTGCCACCGGGGTCCAGACCTCCGGCCCCGCTCAGCCCACTGCCGGCCTGGGGTACTGGCAGCAAGCCCAGGGCTCTGCTCCTGGCCTTGGCTCAGCGCTCTTCAGCCACTCCCTGCTGTGGCCGACATTGGAAAATTCAGCAAGGAAAAGCAAGGGCAAGGATCACACTAAACTGACAAGATCTGCATTTTAATTTTATTTTAAATGAAGCTTCTTAAATATTTTAAAAGCTTTATTTACTTTAAATACAACAATAGTTTATTTATATGATATAGACTTATAGAGAGAGACCTTCTAAAAATGTTAAAATGTATTACTGGCACGCAAAACCTTAAATTAGAGTGAACAAATGAAGACTCAGAACACCACTTCTGAAAGGTTGCCAACCCCTGATCTAGACTGAGAGCCTTTCGCCTACTGGGCGTCCCCCAGGTGTAAACACATTTGAAATACAGATACATAGTCAACATTCCTAACTTCAGATACAAAAATGATACATGCATACAAATAGGATAATCATATTCAACAAATCATAACTTTTTCAGTGATATCTTACATGACCTATCTTGCATAAAATATATCATAATTATGTCAACCATATCATAATAAAATCTCTATGAAGAATATAGGGTGCAGTGTCACAACAACATTTCTCTTTTAATATAAACACTGTATTAATACATCATTTAAAAAAACTGGATCAAGGAGTGGGACTGCTTTAGGGATGCGCAGGCCAAAAACTTACAGCACTTTTAGTGGCAATGGAGACCAAGAAGAAATATCTACATTTGGAGAGAATATGAGGGAAGGCAAAAAGAGCTGTGTGTGCTTAGAAAATAGGTTAATTTATTTGTCACCATTTTCTCAGTGCTAAAAGAAAGCAGTAAAATAATGATTTGTATAAATTCCAACTCAAAGCAGAGAATCAGACCTTCTATAGACAAAAGGGTTGTTTCAGCCCATGCTTTCCATTTGATTTCCACATGAAGTTGCTCACTTAATAAAATTCTGGCATGGTTCTGTTGAAATTCCTATAACTGTAGCCATTTATTAAATACCTACACTCAAGTAGAAAAAGGACTCCTGGCAAATGTGTAGTACATGAAAGTAAGTATTTTGATATTAACCAGAAGGTCTCATGTCTTTCTAGAGTCTTAATACAACTCCTCACTGAAATCCATGGGCATTGGGTTCACTCTTATGGCAATAGCTTAGGCAATATTAAGCTAATTTATATGCATTCATGTATGTATCATTTACCCAGGGTTTTTGGACTCTTTATTATCTTTTCCTTTCTAGCCCCCATGTTCTTAGCATCATTTTTCCATGAGGAGTGATACCACAGTCATTCACGATGTGATGTGAGGGTTATGCCCAGTTGACAGACAGTGTGTTAGTGCTATATTTATTCAAATCTCCATTGACTTTCAACTGAGTCTTGAGCTCCAGTTCAGCAAAGCACTTAAGTACATGCTCCCATTGACTTCAATAGAACTTAAACACACATTGAAGTGCTTGACCAAATCTGGCATTAAGAGTATTTTTATGAACTTGTATTTCCTCTGTAGTAGAACACAGCTATAACAGCCAACTCAACTAGGACACTGACAGAGTGGGCCAATTCTGCTTTCTGTTACATCACTGCAAACCAATTATGGGTGTAACTGAGGGAAGAATTCAGCACCAGAAGCATTTATATAGCAGCTTGTGGGTTAGCTTTGAAAGTGTCTGCATGCCTGAGTATACTCTACCATCAAAGTAAAAGTTAGACTTCCCTTCCCCCCCCCCCCCCAAGCAATGAAATACATGGTTGTCTATGTAGTTGTTTTATGGAAGGGAATATATATTTTATATATGGTCTATAGTGTCAGAAATCCTTCTGGTGTTTAATACCTTGAAATAATATTTTGAATTGACAGCATTGTTTTGTTTCATTATAAATGATTAGAGATGCTTATTGACCATTACATTGCTAGTTAATGCAACTGCTCTACTGTGGGATCTTGAGGCCGTCAACATTATGTACAATTACAGAAAGTGTTGTATATTATTCTAAATTTATCCAGAACAACATATTTCAATGTATTTCTGGTTTATGTAGTCATGAGCACTAACATTTTAATGAGCGAAATAAATTTCACTGTTATTTTGGATTTTTTTAAGAATTGTGGAAATTAACATTAAAATATAGTTTTAAAATACAATAATTATTTTAAACATTGTGAAATAATAAATAAAAAGACAGCTTAATTAGTTCATTGTAGTTTAGTGTGAGTTAAACATTGTTTTACCATTATGTAATTAGAATAAAGCTACAAGTTATTAACATTGGTTCTCCATTTTTACATTTAAATGCTGTAGTTAAACATGGTATTTTGGACAAGTCCTGCTAATAAATAATCTTCTATTCCATTATAAATGATTAGAAATCTATGATTACAAATTAAGTCCATAACATTTTCCTCACTCTTTATACCACAGTAAACTGTAGTATGTTACCTATGAATTCCTTCATCTTATTATTTTTAAAGATAAAAATCAAGAGGAATGCTGTAAAAATTTCTTAACTAACTACTGTACTAGAGTGCACAGGTAAATAGTAGAATAAAATGAGAAACACATATTACTTTGCCTAAAGAGTAAATTCTAAAACCAGTAATATTGCCACAGGTAAAACATGGAAGCTTTACACATACTAAATGCAGCAGTAAAAATCTTTGACATACATTATTTTCTGAACTACTGCTGCATCTCTGCAATGTGTTAAGTCCATGAACTTCCAGAGCCAATCATAAAATGTCACAAATGTTACTGCTATACTCCACAATATACTGTATTGAATCAGGGCAGGCCTCAGGGAGACTTTAAGGAAGTGGTTGTATGAGGCACATAAGTGAAAGATGCACTCTGAGATTTAAACTCTTCCATCTCTGACCCATATAGGGCACTATAATCTGATCTCGCTCAGAGCTCCAGAAACATGAAAGCCGATGCTGTATTTCATACTAATCTCAAACAAACGCTGTCTTTGCCATGAGAGATTTTTCATTTTAAAAAATTCATTCCTTTTTATTTACCAGTTTTGTTTTTTAACAAGTGAAAATCCAACCACTACCCACTGTATTTTTTAACTAAAGATTTTACTGCAGGTTTTTTGCACCCCTTCCCCCTCCCCCCAATACTTTCAAGATTTTTCACCATTTGATGTTGAGAAGCCTGACCAGAACTAACAAACTTTTTTCCCCCTTGGTAGTGTTGTTGTAGCTATGTTGATCCTAGAACTTGAGAGAGACAAGGTAGGCCAGGTAATATCTTTGGACCAACTTCTTTTGGTGGAAAGTACAAGCTTTCAAACTACACAAAGTTCTTCTTCAGGTCTGGGGAAAGAAATAAGAGTGTCTGAGCTAAATACAAGTTGGGACAGATAATTAAGCATAAGAGATATCACATGTTGTAGGAGATTATTTGAAATAGAGTGGGCAATAAGGGTGAGATTGTGCAAAAGAGTAAGCAGGATTCGCATCAGGATTAAGGGGCCAGCAAGCAGGTGTTTGTTACAGTTTGTTCTAATGAGCCATGAAACCAGTGTCCCTGGTAAGTCCATGGATTTTAGTGGCTAGCCGAGTTATAAATTTAAGTTCCCAGGCTCACCTTTTGAAGGTGTGCAGGTTTCCTTTGAGGATGAGTAATGAAAGATCAGATATGGAGTGCTCACTTTGTGAAAAGTGTTTGTCCACGGGTGGTATGGTGTTTTTGTCTTTTATCATTTTTCTGTGTGAGTTCATTTCAAATGACCTCCTGCAATATGTTATTCCTTATGCTTAACTGTCAATCCCCACTTGTACTTAGCTCAGACACTCCAAGGCCTGGTCTACACTAAAGAGCTATGTAGCTCAGGGTTATGCCCTGAGTGGAATAGGTAAGATGACCTAACTCCCAGAGTAGACGGAGCTAGGTTGACAGAAGAATTCTGCATAACTCTATATGTAACTCTGATCATGCCCATACCAAGCCAATAGGTAACAGAATATCCTTTGGTGGACCAGTTGCTGCAATCAGCTGTTTCCTCTGCAGCTGAAAAGAGATTGCCCAAGTTGCTTGGCCCTGCTAGTCTATAGCCCTGACTATAATAAATTAATCACTACAGCATCCATGATTTAAAAAAAAAATCCCAAAGGCCCCAATTCTGCAGGTCACTGCATGCTGCTGGATCTCTGACCCATTAACTATAATGGGGATCTGTGTAGGCACAAGGGTTTTCCTAAGCACAGTAACTCACAGGACCAGGGTCTAATTATGGACTTAAACCAACTATTGAGACATTTATATTTTCAATTCAATATAGTTCTCTGCTTTCTAAGGGCTATATTGCAGATCCATGGAATGATACCATACGGTCTTTAAACTGACTAATTTTGATCTTCATTTTTAATCAAAATGAAAACTGTTCAAAACAAATTGATACAAGAAAGAAAAGTAGAAGGGTGACTTGTGGCCATTCACCTTTCCACAAGTATCTTGTTTCACCACCACCATCTTCCTCCTAATTTCTATGACATAAAATTATGTTGAAATTACCCTTCCACTGGTGACATCAATCTCCTGAAGAGCCCCAGAGGCATAGCTTTGGAGTCCATCATATGATTAGGTGAATATCAAATAGTCTGGAAGACTTTGTTCTCTTAATGCCAGTTTCTTGTGACTCACATTTGATTGGTTGGAAGTCATGCCATTTATCTTAGTATTTTACCTTTTTGTGTGCAAAATAATGCTTATTCGATTTCTGCATAAGGCCTTATAAACTATGAATGCTTTTCATGTCCATGTATTAACCTGCATCTCCATAATCCATAGACAGCCATGTCCAACTATGCATGTACACAGAACTATTTTCATTCTGAAAAGGTTGATGCTCATAGATGTGCAGGAAAGTCCTAAATGCCATTTCTTTGCAAACAGAAACTTCAGAACATTCACATTAATGGTCCATTAAGAAAAGCTTTCTCTCTCTGGAACCACAAGTCTCCTAAGAAATGACATTTGATAGGAGTACAGATTAATATCAGAAACAAACCAACAGATTTTAAGAAGTCTCCGTTATTATGCTTCATGTATGGTTATCAATAGGCAACTGACAATAGTATTATTGCTATTTACATATTGGTACCATGCTGCCATGAATTTGCATAATGTATTGTGGCTCTATGCTCTAGGGAGTTGCATTGTAACATATTGGTGCTTAATGAACTCTGAAAAAATTGATTTTCCACAGAGTAAATTAAGGAATGCATTATAGCTGTTAAAGCAATCTTAAGGGAAATCTGAGGCTTCCACTGCAGCACCATGCTTAGTAAGTAATAAATTACATGTTATACTTATTTGCCTTAATTCATGCTAATTTTGTCCAATTAATGTATCACAGTAATTCAGAAGCCTGTCACAGGAGAGCTAATTATTTATTGGATTTTTGTGTTCAGCTCCCTAGGAGTCTACTAGCAAACAAACTTGCGACTGTCTTTCTGTTAGGTCCGCAGTGACATTCTTATGTCTTACTATGGGTGGGGGGAAAAAGCCATTTTTTTTGGTTCAAGTTATTAAAATGGATCAGTATTCACCTAAGATCATTTTTTGTTTACAAACCTGTGGCATAGTAGTGACAAACTGCCATACTGTTAGGAAGAGAGCCAATGTTTCCCCCCCCCTCAAATTACTTCCTGTAAATGCCTGTACATGACAGAATTCTCACTAAAGAGCATGATGATATTTTTTGCAACCTAAAAGGTTCCTGTAGACTATGTGTGTAAAGTTGAAAAAAGAAAAACTCACACTCTTTTCATTGTAACTTACAGTTTTCAAAATGAATTGGCTTGAGGAAATTAAGTACAAGACATCATAACAATTGATACCGGCTTCACAAATAGATTTTTAACTGTGGCAGCCTTTTAATTCACAGCAAAAAATGAATTATTTATTAGATTAATTTGTGCAATTCATACCTATAAATAATATGGCAGTTGCTAAATAATTTGCACAGTGATAAGATGCAGACATCAAAGTTAAGCAATAAGAGATTCACCAGCTGTGAAATATCCACTATCTGCTAGAATTCTGTCATGCACAAGCATTTGCAGAAAGTTATTTGTTGGGGGTGGAAAGTATTAGATCTGATACTCTGCTTCTTCTCATGGGTAGCAGAAGAAATCCTATCAGATGATTACCATCTTCTACTCATATGTGAAAAGAAGTGATATTTCTTTAAATCTATAATGCAAAGTGATGTTACCAGCAGGCTACATAAAATCATGTGATGTAACCTGACATAATATGATGCACATGACTGACTATGTCAAAAATTTAAAGAGATTTATTATAGAAGAACTAGCTGGAAAAAAATTACCCCACTACACTTCAGTCAGTTGGCATTGATCTGTATTTGCCTATAGCCAAATGAATAGTTCAGTAAACGTCGTCTACAAGCAATATACTATTTTATTCTTCCAGTACATTTTATCATCACTTTAAAGGAAACTGCAAAGTACATCATAGGTTTCTGGGTATATTTTGTAAAACTCTCCATTTCTTGCAATATATTATATTCAAAAGTGGCACTGCATACTCTTTGGCCATATCGCCAGAAGGGACAAAACCACCCCAGCACACCGTGCTCTCAAACTCTCCATCGACACTCAAATGGGGGCACACACTGACCTTATCTGGGACTGCCTGCAGGGTCACCTCAGAGATTTGGGAATTCATAGGATTGAGCCAGATTTGGGAAACCTTGAATACACAATGCCTGGTGCCATGCCATCAACTGTGATCATTATGGCAGACACAATGGTCCCCAGTAGACTATGCATGGTTGATGATGACTATTTACAATGCTCTTAAAAAGCTTGAAAATAATTTTTTTCTCCCAGTATAGACAGATAGATATAGATATATTTGCAACACTGTTTAATTTTTATTACATTTCTAACTTTAGAGATTTTCCTTTGTTTTCCTCTTTGGCCCTGATTCAGGGCATGTGCTTAAGTCCCATTGAAGTTAATGGTAATTATGCACATATTTAAGTGCTCTCCTGAATCAAGATCATTATTTGTGCAAGCCCATTATCAGTCAGCACAACAGCTGGGAATAGCATACTATTGCCTATTCTAAGTGTAGGGGCAAGCTACAAATGTTCCCCATGATGACTGTTGTATGAGCAATTTCCATAAGGGACAACTAAAGAGGGACAGGATAACAATCTACAAATAAACACCAAAAATTAGAGGGAATTATTTAGAGGGGGCCTTAGGTCTAAGAAAGAAAGGTAGAATAGCTTACCTATCAGAAAAATCTCCTGAACAGCAAAATATAAAGCTATAAGCCATTGCCTGGGACACATTTAAAACTAGACTGTACAAAATATTAGAATATAGGGTCTGATTTGACTCCCATTCACTTCAATGGACATCGGATCAGAACTACAAGGAACAATTCTTCATTTAGCAAGGTTCCTGAACTGGGTGTCCTATTAGTTTTCATTTCTGAGTTCTGTGTTTCTATGAGTAGTCAGCATCATGCAGAAAGTTCTAAATATCCTCTCCTCACGTGCCCCAAACTGCATAACCTGACACTGACAATCATCTAAAACACTCATCATGCAGAATGGGTTACATAGGGCTTGCAATGTAAAGTCAACATAGTACTGGTGTACAGAATAAGAAAAAGCCCAAAAACTTAAAACGAGCCTTGGAATCCCTGGTTGAATTCAATATTTTTGAATGTCCATGTTTATTTCCTTGTTAAATTGATATGTTTGCTTCTGCTAGATGTAGCAGAAACTTATACGCTAACTTTTGTTTTATCTAACTCAATATAAAAATATTTAAAATATCTTGGAAATGGAAGCTTGGCTATCAGAAGACAGATATTTCCTTCAGTATCCACTTGTAAAATGCCTCAATAGTCCTTAATAAAGCTGACCAGAAAATAGAAATCCTTTAGCATGAAAAATTTCACTTAAAAAAAAAAAGAAAATCAATCCAATTGCTGAAAAGCAGAAAAGCAAACTCTTTTGTGAGACAGTATTTCCAGAAAATCTGGTTTAGGAGAACCAAAATGAAATCTGGAGCGGCGATCCGTAGCCAGTGGGAGCCACGATCTGCCGAACCTGCGGACACGGCAGGTAAACAAACTGGCCTGGCCCGCCAGGGGCTTTCCCTGAACAAACAGTGGCCCTAGTTTGAGAACCACTGCTGTACCGCATCCTGTACATCAGTTGTGTTCTTTCCAAGCATCCACCTATTATATATGTGGAAAAACCTAGAGCACGGATTGGACTCCTCAGCCATCTTAAGTCTCATCAACGACTTTTTTCCTCCTGGCAGACATCATCCTCGTATCGAGGGACAGCTGACGACGGCTCTACCTGCTGTGCTAAAAGTTACAAAGGGGGGCACCACCTCTTCCTTCTCTGGCTGTGTTCTGTGTGGTGTCTGATCCAGTAGACATGCTCTAAGGCAGCCTCTGAGAAAGACTACCAGACTGAGCCCCACAGGTGAGATAGGCAGGGGAAGGAGGGCATTATAAGCACTTATAACAAGCCTCGCTAGCGCACATCCTTGCTATACAAGCCATTCCTTACCATGTCTAATTGGCAGATGGTTTAGCAAAAAGCTGCTCTGAGTATGTACACAAAATTTCTCTCTAAGCACATTACTGCAAATTAGTAAATACTTCATTTTGTTCCCTCAGAACTAATACAATGAGAACTTTGAGATCCATATGGAACGTGTTGTAGAAATGAAAACAGTCTTACTTTATTATTTGACATACAGGCCATTGCATAGCTTTCCCTACTTAACACATCTGCTGTTAGTATCAGTATGCACCCTGAATTTGGTAGATGATAAAACTATCATTTTTCTGATGATATAAATCCATAAAGCCTTCAGCCATTTTGTTCACTAGATTTAGAACACATTGCCAGTTGAAATAAAGAGAGTTCCAGTCATTAGGATTTTAAATTCAAACATTTAAGGCATTGATTTTACTTAGTTTTTCTAAAATAATGTCTTTAGGAAATTGAGTGCTATGTTGCTAATTTTAACTTTATCCACTGTAAAGTGCTCTGAGGTATTAGCACAAAGGGCACTGTAGAAATTTCATTGTACTCTATTGTATCTGAATAGGATGAGTTATGGAACAGTCTGAGACTTAACTCTGAATTTCCAACTTTTACTTGTTACAAAGTTTATAATACTAAAGGATTCTCATATATAAATTTCATGTTTAATTTTTTCTTTTCAATGTATATTTTTATCATAGTTTATAAGATGTATTGGAAGTATAACAGGCTATCATATATATCTACATTTATGGATTTTTAAATAAATTGTTTACTTATTTTGTCTATCAAACAGTATAGTTGTACAGCGAGATTGCACAAAGCAGTTTGAGGTATATACAGGTATAAAAATAGGATTTTATTTTTAAATGGAAACTTTTTATTCATTAGACCATAGTAGGTCTTTAGAGGTCAATTCGGTTTTCATGCAATTTTAAAAATATTTCCCATGTAGATTACTTTGCAATAGGATCTTTCTTTTGCAGAGGGAGAGATATGCTTTCCTGCTGAATGCCTGTGCATGGAAAGTCAATCATGTATCAAAAATGCATATGAATATTATATTGAGAATGAGAGATTGTGTGTGCACAATAACCACTTTGAAATTAAATAACCTGGGTTTTGTTTATTTTTTCTACCCAAAATAGTTTCCAGTATGTGCTAATGACCTGCAAAAGTAACACTGACTATGCAAAAATCCCAAACACTGCACTTCATTTTCCTTTAATAATTTTAAAACTAGGATTAGGAGAATATAGTTACTGAATAGAGTAAAAACTTTGTTCATGAAGCAAAGGTCACAATTAAAAAATAGCAATATACTTCCATGAGTATGTATTTTTTCCATAGATATCCTATAATAAGGTAGAGTGCATAGGGCAGGCACATGCTAAAAGAGATTGGCAAGAATTTCATTCTTATCATTATGTTTTCAAATGATTTCTCGTGTTTTCATATTTAACCTAGAATTCAGAGCAAGTGATGAATACATAATACACACAGGCATCGTAATACTTTTAAAGCAATAAGTAAAACTTTTAAAATATTAGGGCTTCAAAGGAAAAGAGTCAGGAGTATTAGAAAAGGTAAACATTAGCTTTGGAAGAATAAATGGAACTTTCCCTAACAGGTTTGGCAAGACCAGTGGAAAATATTCCTCACTCACTGTTTTTTTTTTTCTCTTCCCCCTAACAAGGGATAATTTGTGGAGGGATAAATTAGTGTAGCAAAAACATCTTGGATGAACTATAAGCAGCATTTCAATAGAGATACAACCAACATATACTCAAACTTTACCAGGTCACCGGGGACGCAAATCGATATATGTAGGTTATCGCTAACATCAAAAAGAATAGATATATCACAGAAAAAATCCCAGACTATTTAAAAATTGAAAGCACTATCCCTAGTATTGTTATTCAAAGTCTTTCTGTATAATTGGGTTTGCTTGTATGTTTCTTTTGTTGTGGAAAGTATAGGACTAATCCTGCAACCCTTACTCACACGGTCAGGGCACTACATGGGCTTTTACTTCTGTGTGTAAATAGCACTGAGCAATTCTCAACTTCAAAACACAGTAAGACTAAAATAAAGACTCATAAATGAGAGACATAATCAGCCCAACACAAAGCACTAGACAACAAAGCAAAAGGGCAGATGTAACTTGCACACCAAATGGTTATGTGGATGTTTATACTCATACTCCAGGTATTAAAATATGTGCTTATCATGAATGCATACATACATACTGCTTGCCTAATCTGATTGGCCCCAGCCTGACCCGAAGTCAATGGGAGGCTTTCCATAGTCTTCAGTCCTCCAAAGAGATTTCTTGACTTTAATGTTAATGACTCTGTATAGGCATACATGGACCTACCAGTACTGAGCTTATTGCAGGATCAGGGTCTAAATTGCAGAGACAACACAAGTGAGAATACTGAACAATATGGAGGGAGCAGGAATAAAATATGTTACAGAAGTAAGACCCTGAAGTTACTTAGGTATTTTATATGCATATCTTTATATTTTTCCAAGTTCATCAGCAGACACAAAGACTTTCTCGGTGAGGGAGAGCATTTCTGTATGATATGAAAGATTGTAGCTCTGTGGCAATTCTGTTCTAGCACTGGAATTAATTAAGGTATGAGACATGTTCTACTGCTTTAAATGTAAAATAGTCCGATTAATCTAAGTTAAAGTTAATCTAATAAACTAATTAAGTTTCCGGTAGTGCAACTTGCAGTGGGTTACAAAGAAAGACAGAAAGACAGAAAGAAAGGATTCCTCTGTTCTCGTAAGCTGTAAAATGGCTGTTCATTTTTATTTACAAGAGTTTATATTTAGAGCTGTTTGGAAAATGTTTTTTCCTCTGGAGAAAATTCTGACTTTTTGTCACAAAACAATAATAATTACAATAAGATAATTTATCTTGACCTGCATTCAGTATTTACTAAGTGCCGGTAAGGACAGAAATGTCATTCTTGGTGGACATGTGAGATTGGATTATAACAAATCTATGTTTTATTATTTACTTTCTTGATGGCTAGGAAGGCAAGGAGGAGTACTATTTAGAGGTGTCCGACAAAAATAAATTTAATATTGGAGCTGGTCAGAAAATGGCCTTTTATCCCTATGGAAAATTGTAAGTTTTTGACAAAATATCAGAAACTGAAATATTTTGGCAAAATAACAAAATATTTCAGTTAGAAAATGCCTGATGAGTGTTGTAGTTTGGATTCTTCATGTTCCTATTTCCTCTATAGGCCAGTTTCCACGTTGGAATACATCTTCAGTGATTAACCACGGTCTCCCCTCATAGTGAGAGTAGGAAGTTGCATCACAGGAGTCCCTTGCTATAGTGCATTGTGGGAGATGCAGACTGGTTGGGAAGTCCTGCTCATCAAGGAAAATGGGGACATGATGAAACTGACCTACAATTTTCATTAGGCGCCATGCCAAGGTAGCTGAATTCAAATATTTCAATTTTCAAGCATCTTGTTTTTCGACAACATCTTGAAATTTTCCATGTTTAGTGAAAAAATGCATTTGGTTGAAAACCCAATTTTCTAGTGAAAACAGTTTGATGGAAAATTTTCAACCAGCCCTACTCATGACTTTGTTTATAGTACTTCATTATACTTTCTCCATTCCTTTAGTCACTACCATAGTGCACCCATAATTAAAATGAATTGTTCTCTAAAAATAAACAATCTGCTGAGAAAAACAAACTAATGCTTTTGTTCGCATCAGTGCAATAAATGAATGTCATGCTGGTTCCTCTGGTATGTTCTACTGATTCGATTGTTCAGTAGTCAGATTTACAGTGCATTAGAAAAGAAGAAGGAAAAATTGAATGAAAGCAGCTCCTCTTTTCAGTTCTTGTAAGCTGTACAATAGCTTTTCACAGTTCATTCATTAAGTAGAGGATGAGGGATGGACTGTTGGCCCGTGGTGGTGTTTAATATCATTGGTATTCTCCTGTTAGCATTCTGCACTGATCACATACTATTCTTCAGGAGGTGTTTCACTGGCAGTTCTCTGGTGACTCCGGACAGAACAGAAACAGCAGCAGAAATTTTCGTATGCTCTCTAATTCAGTTACTGGAGATTTTCTAATCTAAACTAACTAGAGGGTGATTTATAAGCCAACTTGTTCTTTTGTAATTTATTTTTGTGTCTGGAACTTGACTAAATGCTTAGATTAAGTCAACATCTAAATCAAAGGGCTGTTTAAAAAAATAGTATTCTTGAATGGATGAAAGAATTAACAGCACAGCAAACTGAAATCCTCTATTTATCCATAGAACATGTACAACATAAGCAATAGGTTTGGCTGGCCAACATACCTCATTCCTACTCTGGAGAAACACCTGTAGGGACGAGAGTGTAGGTAAATCACCTTGGGCATTGATTGATTGGCCTGCTGCTCTGCTTAGACGATGATGATATTTCATGGAGGTGTCGTCAGGTGTCCATTAGGAACTATATGCACAGATAGCTAAACTGAGGCAAAATAAAAATGACTTTTGGTCACTTTTTCTTCTTCACCTCCCTCTCCCCTCCTCCCCATCTTGAAAACTAAAAAACCCAAAGTCATATTTTGAATAAGATTGCATAAAGAAGTCTTGTTCTGAATGAGTCTTGTTTCAGCACCCCTTGTTTGGGTCAACACTGACGTGGCATATGTTCCTTTTCATAAATTATGCCACACTAATTAATTAAACCTGAAATGATGTGTGTGTATCAAGAAGAAAATAGCATATAGTGCAGATTCTCATCTCAGTTACAGTATTGTTAATTTGGAGTGACCACTGAAATCAGTGGCTTTACATCAATGTAAATTAAATCAGGGTCTGATCCTATGACCATTTCCAGTTGTACTTTATGGCACATTACAATCAGGCATTAAAATTTGCCACAAAAACAAATTTGCATAGTGGACCACAGAACACTCAAGTTTTCAGGGGCCCGTTCAGGGTGCACCAAACCTAAATCTGTACAGTAAGCAGGTGGCAGCAGTAGTACTAATTTTTTTCCTATAGTTCAATCTGTACAGTCTGTTGGGGGGAGGAGGGGAGGAGAGATCCTTGGTGTCAAAATGGGATGAAAAGAAAACAGATCAGGAGCATTATTTCTTAAATGTAAATTTTGCTCATTTAAAATAGACTTTTTTTGATTTAATCAAATTGTAAAACTCAGCATGGTCTCAAGTTATTCTCCTGCCCATGCAACACCAACAGTTTTAATTTATGAGGACCAACTGGAGAATTTAAATACAACTTTTTTACAAATATAACCAAAGTATTGAAAAGGTCCAGTTAGCAAATCCCCAGGACCCCTGGTCCTTGCACAAAACTACAGGCCTAATTTGCCTAGCCACTGTGCCTACAAATGTGTGCATGCAAGTGAGAAATTAGATGCTTAAATGTCCATTTGTACTTGCAAGTATTAATGTAGGCTCCATGGTAATACAAATAATAAATAATAATAATTTGCAGTATTTTGTGTATGTAGATAGGGCCTGATCCAAAGCCCACTGAAATGAATGGGAGGCTCTCTGTTGACTTCAGTGGGCCTGGGATCAGGCCTATACCCAAAAGTGTCTGTTGTAATTATATGGACACATGTAAACATGCGATTTTTCATAAATTAATTCGTGTCTTTGAAAATGTGGTCCATAAGAAAGCAAAGTGAAAACAAAGACTGAATACAGAAAGATTTTTTTAGCCTATTTTCTTCAGAACCTGATTGCAATTTGGGAACTTTCCTGAAAGCTGGCATTATCTACCAATATTTAGTTATAAATATAAGATGCCTGGCAACACTTAATACAACAGAAAACAGGGACATATCCCTAATTTGATTTTTAATATGCAGCATATGTTCAAAGCTTTCAAACTCAATGCACAAAATAAATACGTACATAAACTTTGTTTTCAAGCACAAATCAGCATAAACATTAGATTGTAAATTATAAGAAAATTTCCCTTACTATATTGAAATATTACTCTTAATACCAGAAATTTAATTAATATCATCACCGATTAAAGTGAGAGGTGTTTTTTTCTTTTCTCATACATACTGCCACTGAATATCATTTCATACACCTGAGTAACCATTAGTTTCTTCATGCAGCAAAATTCACCTTCTAATAGCAGCTCTTAAGGAGGTTATGAGGACAATTCACATGAAAAATTAATATACTTTTTTTTTTAACCTGAAGACTTGTTTTACTTGTTGTTTCTCAACCAACAGCCTTTTCCCATTCGGAATATTTGCTGTACTATGAAGAAGTGGTTAGTTACCCGTCAGATTGCACCTTATCTTCTGCTGCAAACCTCTCAGGCAGGGCATGCACATTTCATGTCCTTTCACAGTGCAGTTCACTTGGAGACAAAAGCAAGAGGAATTTGTTTCAGTTGAGCTATTCTCTTTTAACAGACACTTTCCAGCTGACTAAAGTTATCTTTAAAATTACAGAAGCGGTCAAAAGGGAATCAAGAATTTAGATGAATAATTTTCAGGATTTCAAAGATCAATAAAGGGAAAACTTTTGTATTTATTTATTTGAAAGTACCATTAAAACATGTAAATGTTAATTGATTATGCTGTCTTCAACATGCCTGTCTTAAATCATACCATGTAACTAAATTATTCTCCAAAATGTCATCATCAGATACTTGATTTAAATACGTCATGTTGAAAATTACTTCCAATAAAATACAACAGTGATACTTATTCTACTATTTCCATTAAAACTAAGTGATTGGCCTAGCTACAAGAACAACAGAAGATTTATTACATCAACTATGTATTATTTGCAGATTGGGCAGCCTAAACCCCACATTAATTTTAAAATAGAGGTATGCCGCATAATACCTTGATTATTTTAGGTGCTAGTGCTATCTGACCAGAAAACACACAATCCAAAATACTTTTAAAATCGATCAATCAATACTATTAAGGACAGAAATTTCTCTACATGTTTAAACAGGTGTGTTGGCTACAGATAATAAAATGTTATACCTGCATCTGGACAGAATTTAATCAATTTAAAGTTGAATATGGATTTCATGTATTTATTATTATTTATACTGCTATTGTACCCAGATACCATGATGCTGATCAGGGCCATATTGTGCCAGGCACTGTACAAACAGAGGAAGACAGAGTCATTGATTCAAAGTACTTACAACCTAAGGTCTGGAAGACCTAGCCCATCAAGCACTTCTTGTGCACCAGTTGGCTACAGCTCTCTGGCCCAGAGGTGGCTGTATTTCAGTGGGTCTGGGTGCATTTAGAGCCATACTGTAGCTCTTCTACATGCCCCTCCAATATCTGTAACCCTCACACTGAGACTGGTCACAATGGGAGTGCCAGTACTCAGGGAGCCCAAGGATTCCACCGGGCTAACTCCACTGTCAGCTTCAGTC